CCTGTACCCGCGGCAGGGTCACTGCTGTACCCGCTGCGGACACAGAGGACACTATTTTCTCCACTTCCATGTTTAAAAACTGCTGTCATGACTTCTCTCAATCTTCTCTCCTTTAGATGAAATGACCCTAAGTCCCCGTTCCACCTTTCCTGACTCCCTTGTCACGCTCCTCTGTGCTGTCCTGGCACTGCCACCGCCTGGTTCGCAGCTTCCCTTCTGGAATGTGCCCGGAACTGAGGAACGCGTGTGGAGCTAAACAGGAAAAGAGATTTAGGGTGTTTTATAGGGCAGACTTCCGTTTATAGAGATCGCAATCAGTTGCACGAGGACGATGTAACATCTAAACGCATTTCCAGGACTGAGATTAAAGCTGTAGGGATAATGTGGGATACACGGGGTTTGCCTCTTGCTTTGAAATGTATTCGTTTATTAATTTATAAATTTAGGGCGCTACCTTCATTTTAAATCTTACCTTTGCTTTTGTGTTTTAACTTTACCCGTTATTTTTATGATGCATTCTGGGGTTTTTAAGATAAATGTCAATATAAAGGTAAGAGTGAAGATGCTCCGTGGGACACGAGACAGAACTTGGGCTTTGCAAACCAACATGTTAATCACGACTTTGAACAGCAGAGGGCATCGTGTGACCGAAGGTGCCAATTCCCGATGCCTTAGAAGTGGTGGTTTAGGGTTTGTTTTTTTTTTCCAGGAGAAAGTGAAACTGCTTCAGAAAATTAACGAATCCCACCATTTTAATTGGTTCTGGATTAACAGATTTGGCTCGAATGTTATGACAGGTTGACAAGATATGGAACTGAGGGATATTTTACAACTTTAATTATTTTTTAGTTCGTTTTCAGTTGTGAAGATATAAATCTCCCCAGTAAGGGAGAAACTGTAATGGGCAGAAACTGTCAATATGAGCTGGACTGAGCCTATGAATAATGAATGGAATGGATGACCCTTGGTTCTTCCCTGGAGAGCTAGGTTCAGTGGGATACTTTGTATGCAGCTCATCTCTTTTCTCTGTGAAAGGGCAACCAAGGATCCCGACTACACCCTAGTCTTTTACAGACACTAGAAAGAGCAAGGCTGACATTTGGGGAAGCAGCAACAGCTGACCAGGCAGAAAAAACGTGTGTGGCAATCTTGTTGTCCACTTCTGGCACCTCCCAAAATAATGAGTCATTTCCCAAATCATCATCCTGCCTTGGAAAAGATACCTTTGCACTTGTTTCCTGTCTTTTATAGCTTCCAGATAGCAATGCTTGGTTTTTACATATTAGAATAGTCATGGTTGGAATGGAACTCTGAGATCACTGAGTCCAAACAAAAAAACCCTCCAGAACCCCAACCAAACAAGCAAAAAACCCACAATCAGGTTTATTAGAGATAAGACTTTATTGCACTCTTTAATTTTTAATTGAAAACTGTGATTCTTGTGATGTAATTCTTGTCATGACCAGAGTTCCTGCGTCGTAGAAGAACAAAATGAAAAGCTGAGAGGCTCAAATGTATCCTCAGAGCTGCAGTGGAGGAAAGGAAGAGGTAAAAATAAAACTGGAGTATGGAGAGCACCTTTTCTCCCATCCATCTTGTTGCAACAAATCGCCAGTCACACATCTGAGTAGAGTTACATGCTTTTCTGTCCTGCCTCTGGATTGGGCTCCTTTTGAAAGTGTTCTGGGTATCAATACTTAACAACTTAGCTCCAAATCAAACCGCTTGTCCCAGCATTTTACATGCATATTTGTCCCTGTGCTGTGCACACAGGCACATGTGGTTTGCAGGTCTGTGCCTTCCTCACGTTTTTAGCAACGGACACCTTTTATTGTGTTATTTGACCTAGCTCCCCCATTTTCTTTTCTCTGTTCCCTGCATTTCTCCCATTTCAGTTTCTCTGAGCCTGCCCACTGCAGGAGAGGCAGTGGGTTTCCCTGGTAGTTGAGATGTTTGGGACTTGTATGAGTTCATGCCACATGGAAGAAAAATGCCAATGAGTAGGAGCTAACTTGGCACCTCTTAATCTCTTTCAGTCACCCTAGAAATAATATTTTAGTTTCCTTAACACATTTGCTGGAAGAGCAGGTTTGCCTCTCCTGACCTCATTCCTAAAATATGTGGTGTGTAACTTCTTAAAAAGTAGCAAAGGACAAGGAAATAGTAATGAGAATGAATCACAAGACTAATAAACAAATGCAGCCTGACTAGCGAAAAAAAAAAAAAAAAAAAAAAAAAAAAAAAAAAAAAAAAAAAAAAAAAAAAAAAAAAAAAAAAAAAAAAAAAAAAAAAAAAAAAAAGGAGGTGATCAAACCCTCAGTGCTGTTTTTCTGCCAGCTTCCTTTTGGCCCTGATGTGGAGGTCAGAAGCACTTGTATCCAGCTTGCTGACATCAGTTGTGAGCTCAATTTTTTTTCACAGGAATGAGTAAATAACATCCGTGATGTTTCCCAAAGCTACATGGTGAGGTCAGAAGACATTATGTGATTATATTCCTAATAATGAATAAAAATACTGGTTACAGATCCTACATGGCTGGATCCTGACATACAGTCAGTGTGTAAATCCACCTGCACAAACTGGAGCCCCTGTTTACAGTACCAGAGCCTGAGTTTTTCTCCAAGGCATATGTGGGGATTACAGCTGGACACTAAATTCAGGCTGGTTGCTAAGAGTGTTAACAACAGCAATGCCTATTCTCCTTCTCATTTGGACACACTCCTGCTCTCCAGTGATTCTGTAATCTCTTGGAGAACAATAATCCCCTCTTGCCCTCTTCTGAAAGCTGCATGCCAGCAGGACTTGCTTGCACCTATCAGAATTATGACCCAGAGTCTATCGTGACAAACACTTGCAAGATCTACCTGTCTTTCCTTGCCTTTCAGTGAATTTTGCGTGTACCCTTACAGTTGCCAAACTCCAGCAACAGAATGAAAGGAGGAGGAATGAATGTTACCTGCTAACCCCACAGGGAGGGAGGAGCTCCACTCTTCAAACATCAGCAGTTATAAGGAAGGTGTGTACTTAGAGCAGTTCCTCAATGTGGCAGTTCAAGCACACAACGCTGAAGACCTGTCCTGAAGGTGCTGTAGAAATCTCCTGAGGGTCATTTCATGGGGGAAAATCCTGCCAAGAACCATTATGCACAGCTTAACCAGGGAGAAGAGAATGAGATGGTGAGTTATATCTCTGTCTAGGTCTTTCTCAACTTGAAGCAGCAGATGGCACATGTTCTGTAATAAAATGCTACAGTCTGTAATTTAGTTACGGATAGTGGGGGTGTTCCCATAGCAGAAACAGTTAGAAAAGAGTATAATTTTCTTTAGGCAGAAAGAAAATAAAGTTGTGTATGTCCACTGAATTTAACTGTTTATCTCCTCCAACAGGGGATGGTTTGACAGATTATTGATGTGGCATTATAAGTCTAGGTGGAGATGTTTTCATATGAGCTTAAGGGATGGATCAGAGCAATGTTTCTAACCATTTGACAGCTGAATTTCTCAGTTCAGCTCTGGTTAGATGAGGACTGGGAACCTGGGCTTTCTTTGGAACAAAAAACCACATACGTTTGTTCACATTATTATTATCAAATGCATTCTGTTGGATTGGCAACACTATCCCAGCCTGAGCACCTGTATGAAGCCAGATTTCTAAATTCAGAACTACCATATTTATTTCCAGAGTTCCCCAGGGAGGAGCATGTTTACATGCATTTTGTAACACATGAAAATAAGTCCTACGTTTACATGAAAAATCTGGCCTGCTGCGTGGCACTTCTCTTGAACAGTAAGCCCAGTGCACAGTTGTAGAACATCCAGTGCTTCTTAGCTGCTTTGGCACTACTGTGTGTTACGGATCAGCTATTTGTCACGTGCCTTCTGTCTGTCAAACAGATTCTGCTGGAGATGTCAGCCCCACGGTGCAGCTGTACAGCAGCAACTCTCTTACATGCCTGGTAGATGCACTGTTTCTCAAAATCCCTGTGCTGCAGAGGGCCTGGAGCTCTGCTGTCAGTGTGTGTAGGGTTTCTGGGTGTACAGCAGCCCCAGCTAATGAAACAGGGTCGCTTACGAGATGATACGACTGTTCACTTCCAGAAATCCTGGAGAAATCTTCAGAATCTATTCACCAAGAATTCTACTTTTGTGAAAAAGAGACCTTGTCATGGAAAACCATGGACTCGTGTTATCCCTAGACAGAAGCACAGGTTTTCAGTCAGCTCTTTGCCATCCAGGGAAGGGGAGATGCCGTGTTTTTGCACAATGCGACCCTGTGTAACCTGGGATGTGCTGCAGAGCGCAGGGCAGTCCCAGCCAGCAGCAGGACCCGCGCACCGCAGGGCTCTGGCTGCGCTGCGGGCTGAGCGCTCGGTGCGGGCGGGACGAGCTGCCCCGCTCCGGCCCCAGCCCCGCTCCGCGCCCTCTCCCGG